TTATTTCTCATTACCCTGCTCTGATTTTGATTAGCAATAAATTAAACTCATTTCTCCAAGTTGAGTGAATGTTCACTCCGAGTATGTAATATTTTTGCCTGCTGAATAGTGAAACGTGTTTTAAGATATCTAATGTCTTTTGTGGTGTTCTTCAATGTTTTCAGAGTTCCATAAATACTGTGGTAATTCAGTAAGGTGTGCTCTTGCACACTTAGAAATACATAGTAATTTTTTAAAAAATAGGAAATATTAAAATCACAAGTATTTACATTTTTTTGTGAAAATGATGTAGATTGAGACTTATTCAGTGCATTTTATGACTGGATACTGTGGTAGGCAAGTAAGGTAAATAATCTTTTTGCTCTTGGTGGGATTTGTTTTGTTTAACTGTAGTAATTTAAAAATGGTTATAATTTAATCAACATTAAACTGGCATAAGCTGTTAGTTTTGCCTGAAAGGCAATTTTGTTCACTACTGGCTGCTTGCTGTTGCTTGACACTGTTATTTAGCTGCATGATGGAATTGCATTTGTTGACCGCCGTGGCAGTTTATGCTGCTTTAAAAAGTTCATGAAATTGCAGCTTGCAAAGTGTGCGGCTTAATTCTGCATCTTGGTTCTCTTGCCAGTGACTGGAGACATCTTCTGCGGTACCTGTCTTACCCATCCATTTTAGGATGGGATGACGCTGGGGAGTTCCCTTCTTCACCACCGATAAGAGTAGACTAAATGCTTAGTTTTGCAGTAGCTAATGGTGGGTAAGACGAATCTCATCCTTTTGTAACAATGGATGACTTTTCTGTTTTGCTTTATGGTGTATTAGCTTGCAGAATGATCTAAACCATCAACATTTTGATGATACAAAACTGTTTATCTTAGTGAAAAACTGTAGTTTTTAGCCATGATAATAATGATAATGAGACAGTGTGCCACTTTAAAGAGAGAGAATTTCCTGTGCAAACTTGTGCTGTGCGTATCTATCTGCCTAAATCAGCTTTAGTTAGGAACATATGTAAACCTCATGGCATGGGAAGTTTGAATAATGTTTTACTTATAAACTGTAAGTTTCTTTCTAATGCTAATGTAGTGTTAACTCTTGTACAGACATGGAAGTAATGAAGCCTTTAATTGATGAAGAAAATTCAGATGGCATCTCAGATGAAGAGCATGAAAATAATTTCCTGCCAGTTGAGAAGCATTACCGGCTTGATAATGAAGAAGGCATTACGTATGTATTACTCTTACGTTCAGCTTATTAAAATTTGTTGCCTCCAACTTGTTTCTCCTGACCAGTTTACTGAACTCTTAAGGAGTTTTTTTGCACCCACAGTACAGTTTTGTGGTTATACATCATGACTTTGCATAGTTTTGCTGAAAAGCAGCCCATTTTGAGTGGGTTCTCTGGGAGCTAACAATGTACTGGCTGTAAAATATTCCAAGGTGGCCATTTGTAAAGTGATTGGGTCACTCAAAATCCAAGCACTGTTTAAAGAAGGTTTTGATTGTTTTTATTTTTTCGTAAATAAATTTCAGAAGACTTTGGAAATGATGTTTGTTGAAGTTTAATTCAAAAAACTTGTAAAGTGTTGTTTTTTTTTTTTTTTCTTTTGATAAAGCTTTGGCTGTAAGACTTGTGATTTGCAGCTGGTAATTGTTTTGAATATTATTGATTCTAAAATAGCATTGATGAAACTTGGTAATTTTGACTCTGAGGCCGAAGAACAATAAAACTGCACAGAAAATAACCTTTCACAAGCTGGAGGAAGGAACTGAAGATTAGACTTGTATGTTCTATTTGAGGGAGCTCACATGTAAAGATGAATAAGAACATTATGTGAATGTGCTGGACATTCTTTAAAGAAGCTGAACCACCTTAAAGTAGTTGAAGCTCACAATTTATCCCTTTACTAATAAATGACAGAGGGTGTGGTTTTGTTTTTGCCCACCTTCCCCCAACTCAGTGTACCTCTAATGTGACTTTTAATATTTTTATCTTCAGATTTATACAAACACTTACACACCTCCTCAAGGGAAACATTGGAACTGGGCTTCTAGGTCTTCCACTTGCAATAAAAAATGCTGGCATTGTGGTAAGAATTAAGTTATTTTTCATAGATTAGAAAAATTATATTGTGTTCTATTTTTCCTCTTTAGTCTGGTGAAGTTACTACTGAAGATTGAGATTTTTTTTTTTTTGGAAGTTACTACTTCACCCTGAAGACTTTATAGCATGTGTTATATTTTTGCTTAGCCAAAGTGTTTTTCTGGTGAAAACAAAAACTTTGTCAAAAAAAAGAAAGATTTTGATTCACTCAGACTCCTATGATGTCTCATGGGAATTATTATTATGGGGTTCTCTTATCTTTGTCCAGACTTCTCTCTAGCCAGATTGTATGTCCCAGGATGCAGCGTCAGCTTGTTAAATCAATCTTGTTTCTGCGAAAACAGGGTATAGTACAGGCTAGTTTATACTGGGTGACAAACAATGCGTTTCCTTAGGCAAGGTAAATTTTATCAATTGAAATACTCTCCTTACTGGCTAAATAAGACCGTAATTCATTGTGTTCAGTTTAGGAATGAAAGTTACATGTGAAAAGCAAGTACCTTCTGTGAAAACTTTTGGTCAGACTTCTACTCAGAAACAAATTATTTAATTTGAAAATTATCTCATGACTTTTTGATTGTAGAAGTTATTAGGATTGTGGTGATTTGTGTTTGGTTTTTTTTATACTGCACATAATCAAGTCTACTAATGTAAAGGAAAGAAACCTTTATTGTCATTAACATTGCCACTTTAAAGTGGTTCAAACTACCGTTTCAAATTTTGTAAAATATGCGGTCTTCTGTCTTGACAAATTTTTTTGGCAAATATCTTAATGAAGCTGTTAGAGGAATGAAGTTGTTCATGCCCGTTTGATATTTATGGCTTGATGGCCCCTGAGTAGCCTTCTGTCGGATAGTGAACGAAAAGTAAGGAATGCCATAAAACATTGGCAGCAAATTCTCCTCTGAGAGGGCAAAAAAATCCAGTTGCATGAAATTTTTAATTCTTTCTTTAGTTGATGCAATGTGAAATTTTTGCATGTAAAGATTTTCCCCTGGCATATTTTCATTAAAAATTCTGTTTATCTCCCATGTCCTCCTTTTTTTTTTTTCCTCCCATACTAGATCGGACCAATCAGCCTTGTGTTCATAGGAGTTATATCTGTTCATTGTATGCACATCTTGGTACGTTGCAGCCACTGTCTATGTCAGAGGTAAATGTGGAACTACTCATTCTGTTGCCAAGTTTGAGTATTATTTTCTTCTTTCTTCTTTTCTATTTCTGATTTTTGGCCTACAGAATGTCCTGATGCTGTAGCAGTTTTCAGATCAGAATCTTGTACTTCAAAGAAAAAACACTCAAATTCTTATCTTATAAATGATTGCTGTGCTTTGTGCAACACTGCTTTAATACATTGAAAAAATATTTCTTCTCTGCTCATATACAAAATGAAGTTGGTTTAATTTGTATTGCCTCGTATCCTGTTCCCTGTCTTAGCTGACAAATAATCAGATCTTTCTCATTGCAGTTTTAATTGCTTAACTTCAGTCCTTTAGTCCTTCTTTATCTTCACAGCTTTGAAAAGTGTTCACTTTATAAAAAGTCAGTTTATAAGTACTTTATAGGAATAAAAGGTAAACTAAGAATTGCTATTAATGTCTTTCATGATTATATGTGAGCTCAGTCTCTTTGGATTGTGACAACTTCAAAATTGTAGTGCTGAAGGGATGTGTTAAAATGATGCGAGTGAGCAGATAGGTATTCCTATATACGAGATATTCCTCCAAGTCAGATGTACAATACTGGGGGGGAAGCAGTTATTCAAAACTGACTGACAGAATATTTTGATTAATAGTGATATTTATTAAACATTTTTATCTTACTGTCAGGTGTTAAAGAGAAGCAGTGGGAGGGTCTCATATTTAAAAAATGCACTGAAGCTTTTGAACTGAGTGGAAACACAAAACAGTTCATGTCCCTGTAGCTGGAAAATCTTACCAGTTTAATGTGATACTGTACTGGGAAGGGATCCTGTCATTCCTGAATTGTTTTTTTCCTCTGTAGTTTTGAATGGCCTTTGAAGATGTACATAAAACTAGGATCACTGAAACAATTGTGCTTGACTGTTTGTCCAGGAAAATCTGTTGAATCCTGTTGAAGTTCTTTGTGACTTTTAGATTGGAGATGGATTTCTTAAGCTGATATTATAAGTATCTAATTTTGGATTTGTTTGTCGGGAAACTTATTCTGTAAGAAAATGATTTAGTACTCTTGAATTAGGGGGAAGCAGCATTGTGGCTCGCATGCTTGTAGAGTGCCGAATAGCCCTTCCTGGGGGAGAGAAGCCCCAACCATACCTCTAAAATTCAGCAGCTGTAGGATGGTGCCACAGGTGATTACTTATAACCATAGGGAGGCCACCAGCATTTTTAAGGTAGGGACCTAGGCCCTCATAGTTTCTAGTAATTCCATTCTTTCTTTGCTCTTTGATTTCAGGATGAAAAAATCCTCACTGGGGTATAGCGATACGGTTAGTTACGCTATGGAAGTGGGGCCCCTGACTGCTCTTCAGAAACGAGCTTCTTGGGGGCGGTAAGTTTGCAGTACAATTTAATTTAATAAATTCGTTATTAAAAATTACCACTTGGAGATTTCCTTTTGCTAAGATGTTACCTGCTTTAAGAATGTGTTCTGTGTGCTTGAAATATTGTGCAGTATTATTATTTTTTTTTTTTTTTTTTCCTGCAGCTAGTAGTGGTGATGTGAGAGGATTGGAGAGTGTGTTTCTGTTAGCCATTTCAATTTTCAGGTCTGCAAGAGCTGTAAAGTAAAGAAATCTGTTTAGTAATACAGGAAGAGATGCGGTATAACCAGAAATGCATTCTGTTTTGTCTAATGTAGGGAAGTAATTTCAGTTTTCATTCTTCTTTACCGTAAACACATTTCTCTGCATCAGAGTTCACTCTTTAAGCACGTTGACACTACAAATGTAAATTACTTCAGTATATTTATTGTGAAAGGAGGCAAAGCAGTTCTTTGATTCCTTTCTAAATATAACATACAAATAATGGAGAAATATTAACTATATTTTGTGATAATGAAATGCAGGTATTAATAGCTTGTTGTCTCTCAAATACTTTATCCCTCTTTTAAAAAAAAACATTATTTTTTCTTTGCCATTTGTTGCTGTCTAACTGTTTATGGAGTTTATGGTGTGACTATACAGTAGTAAAACTCAAAAACTCAGATGTGTTGTTCAATGTTAAAGTGCTTTTTTTCCTCACTTGAGGATGAATTTGTTTTGGTCCTGTTTTCAAGGATGCAGCATCTTGCATCGTGTGTTTTGGCTATTACTTTGTTTTGAATAAGAAAAAGGTGAGCTAGATCTTTTGTGATGACTTCATAGGAATGGAGTAGAGTTCAATTAGAGGGAAAGTTTGTTTGTAGGAAAATATAATGACAATTCTGTGATGCACCAAAGACTTACAAGACACAAATGGCAATTTGATTTCAAGACACACTGCTGCAGCAAATCCATTCTCTGAGGCAGATCTCTGCTGTATGCCTGAATCTAGTGAAGTGTTTCATTACAGTGTGTCTTCAGGCCACCGTTGTGCATAGCTTTTTTAAAAAACAATCTGAACCATAGTTTAGAGTGTTTTTTTTCAATGAGGTAGTGTCTGAATATGTGTTTGGATACATTGATAAGAGACCCACTTAGTAAGATGTGAAAATGTTTGTTATCTTGAGTTGCTGAAACTTAGATTACTTAGACTGTATAAGACATTTAATCTCTGGTCCTGGTGGAAAACTGCTGTGTTAAGGGTTAGCAGACCCCAGCAGAATTTATATGTGCATTGAATATATATGTCTGTTGTTTACATTTGTACCACATTGTTGAGTCTTTGAATTTTGTTTTATGCTACTTTAAAATATGTAAGTACCTTTATTTTTCTTTTTTTAAAGAAACTTTGATGCCTACTCAATGTTACCTTAAAAAGCAAACACACACAAACCCACCCTGTTTTGCCAGGAACCTGCATTGAGTGGTCCTGAGGCATTTGAATCTAACGTTTTGACTACTGTAAAAAGGAGGAGTAATTGCATGTTAGCTAGAAATTAATTGTTTGGATCCTAAGTATAATGTTTGTTTTTTGGTTTTTTTTTTTTTTTCCCTCAGGTATATTGTTGACTTCTTCCTCGTGATAACACAATTGGGATTTTGTAGCGTTTATATTGTGTTCTTGGCAGAAAATGTGAAACAGGTGAGTAATGTTAGTGTATGAAAACAGTTGTGGTTTTAGATTCATTTTCCTTCACTTTTCTTTCTTATCCTTATAAAGTCCTAACAGAACTACTTCTAAAACGTGAAGTTGAGAGATGCACAGAATGAGTTCTACCATGGTTTCCACAAAAAAAACTTGTGGTGAAAAGGAGCGATGTGCAAAGTGAAATACATTTGAATCTTGTGCAAATGTTTGTGGCTTCATTGCCCTCTTTGTTTGTTGAATTTAAAAATTACTTGTGGAAATGATAGAAAATAAGGCTGAAACTGCTCTAGGAGCACTGCCCTATATTTTTTTTTTTTTTATCTCCTGGCTAGACTTTCTGCTGACTTCCTTTTTTTTTTTCCCCCTGAACAGGAGTTCAGGCATATTTTTCCCTTTTCATGTCACTGGAATCTTTCTTTGGTTCTTGTTTAGTCCTGTCCCTTTTCTAGAATGGTCTCATCTGCCACAGAATCCATTGTATCTAAGTAAATCTTGATTTTTGTTCTTAAAAATGCTTGACATTGAAATTTCTGCAGCATCCTCAATAGTCAGTTCCAATGCTTTCTTATCTGTTAGACAGCTTCTTGTTTGTAGAAGCTTAAAAATTTCTTATTGGTGTTGTAAGTCCTTTATTTCATGTTCTAACTATAAGTAATTTATTCTTTTCTATTTGCAGATACCTTTTATATTTTTGAATGTTGTTATCTTGTCTCCCCTCTATCCAATAGAATCTAATAGCTCCTCTTGCTTTTCTGTGAACACTGTGCAGTTGGTCACATCTCTCTCTTTTTTCCAAGTTTTATCCCTGAAGTTGGTTATGCTACTCTAGCTGAAGTTTTGCTTGTGACCAATAAAGATGAAAGGTTATTTCACAGGTCTTGTAGGTCATATTCCAGACTTGACATATCAGTATAATGATCATTTTGCAGGAGCATGTCATTGCTAACTCATCATTAGCTTGTGTCCACTGTGATATCTCAATCCTTTACTACAGAGCTGCATTCTAGGAAATTCTTCTGGTTCTTCTTTCTGTACAGATGGTTTCTGCTTACTTATAGAATCTTTATTTTTCCTTACCTGATTGATTTTTAACCTGATTGAATTTTAATCCTGTTCTTCAATGTTCTTTCACTTTCCGTCTGGAATAAGATGTTTAAACACTGCTTACTACATTGTCTGTGTTATTAATGAAAATATTAAATAGCAGTGCTCATGTAGCACTGCAAATACTATTTAGGCCTATAATACATAGTATTAAACATATGCAAACACATTTCAATATGTTACAGATTTTTAAATAGATTGGATATTAATTTTTAGAAAAATACTGTGATTTATCTGTGCAAGTTGATTTATTTAAGGATGTCTAAAAATATTTCATCATGCCATATTTATGAAAAAGTCTATTAAAAATTGCAAATGAATCCCCACAACCACAAATGCGTACACACCTCCCAAGCAACCCCCAAACCTTTCAATAAAACACAACTAACCCTTTTCTCTCCCACAACCACCCGTCACAGATGAAAGCAAACAAAACCATGCCTATCACTTCCATGACAACCGCTCCTGCTTTCATTCATGTTTTTTGTCTCTCATTCCCCAGCCCTTCGAAGCTCTTCTTTTTCTCATCGGTGGTGATTTTTCTGTTGACGGCGTCCCTGACATTTCCTAGTCCTTCCTCATTGCACACTCAGCAGCTGTGGTCAGCGGTTTGTGTGTCTGAGCAGGTGGTGCACGGGAGGGCAAGCCAGCACAGCTTGGCTGCTCAGAGAGGAGCCACACACACTTTGGGCTTGTGGTGCTCTCTCCTCCATGGGCTTAACATGCCAGGACTCTACCAGTGTACTCTGCTGTGTTTTCTGCTCATAAGATTCTAGTTGGTCACTTGGCATAAAGCTAATGAGGATGAATCTGAGCCTGTATCTAAACATGCCTGCTTCTGTAATTAGTGAAGTTGGTGAGGAATACGGTATGGCAGGTCATTGAGCATTAATCACCCATATGGACTCTTCTACCCAAAAGGTAGAATAAAGGTGTCTGTGCATAGCGTAACTTTAATGAGGAAGAAGAGTGTCCCCTGGGCAGTTAGTACATTGAAGATACTATGTTTTTTCCCCCTCCCCTTGTAGGTGAGCATTTATATTGCATTTAAAAAGTATTCCAAGTTCTATGGATGAAGATCCTGTCAGGGCGAGGAGAACTTGTGTATTTGGAAGCTGGATACTCTGTAATTTGCATCTTGGAAGAGGAAAAACACCCAATCCTTAGAAAGTAGAGTCCCACCGCCACAATCTATCTCAATACCTAAAAATCCTATTTTGCATCCAATGTCCTTTTGCTGGCCTTCTGAAGTGGAGATTTTTTATTGCATCCTTTGCAATGTAAGTTAGAATCAAAACTTCTCCCATCAGATAAGTATCTGATCAACCAGTTGTTATATATGTGTTTTGACCTTAAGCAAAATATGAGACACTTAGGCTTTTGTAGATTTTGAAAAAACCTGAAACCTTTACAGGAAACCTGTTGCTGCTTTCTTGAAAAAAGTTGAAAGATCGTATAGAAAAGCAACCTCTGCAAAAGCAGTGGCTGCAGAGACTCATGACGTGTACCCTGTGAATGAATTAAAGTTATTAGCAATTCAGAAGTCCCACTTACAAGTGTATTTTATTTAGATTGTCTTGAGCTCTTTCTCCTGGGAGGGAGAAGGCTGTGGTTTCTTTCTGGCGACTTTCTGTTGCCCGTAGAGGGCACCAAAGAACACAAGTTGGTCTTGCTTTAACTAATTATTTGGGGTGGTGGAAGGATGAACAGAGGGAATAGGGGGTGGAGAACTAAGATGAAGGAAAAACATAGTAAAAGTGTTACTGATACTACTCCTTGACCAATATCTCTGCATTATGCTCCATATTCTTATTATGTTTGCATGTTGGGATGTGCAGTCAAACAGCCCACTGGAACCAATGGGAGCATCTACTGCGATCTTTTCTTTGAAATTCCTAAATTTAGTATGGTGAAGAAAGAGACTACTATTTCACAGAACAAAAAAGCAACAAGCATTTTAGAATGGTTCTGACACCTGAATTGTATATTCATCAGTCCGCATTATTTTGAGGTGAATATTTAGTTAGGCACATAGTGGTGCACATGAGTCGAAATACTTATTTCGTCTTTTGAATTCTGTGATTTGATATACCCTTCTCACTAATGGATATGCAGTATAGCTTCTGGTGCTAAATCTTTCCTCATTAGTGTCTGTGGGATTATAACAATGTTGTCTGCATTATGTTAAAGTTTTCCAGACGCTTTGTGCTCCAAGACTCTATTTCCATTTATATCAAATTGCAAATGAAACTTTTCCTAAGGAATATTTTCCTTGGGCACCAGAGAAAGGTTGCTGGTGAGAGTTCTGGTTAAGTCTGGCAGCATGCAAATATGGAGTTACAGGTGAATGTGTCTGGAATTGGAGAAGAATGATAAAACTATAACAAAAGCTGGAGGTTCACCACAGCGAGACCGGAGCAAGAACATACTGGATAGAAAAAAGAATCTGTGCCCAAAAAAGCATGGTCCCCTTTCATACCATAGTTACTTTGCTTTTCCTCCTTGAGCAACAGCAGACCTTAAGCCAAAAGTCTTGGCATTTATCAACTTGCTCATGAATATTTACTGAGTTCTCTGGAAAAGTGTCCTTTTCTCGTTGTTTGATGATAAAGCTAAAAAATGAAAACCTGTTCTTGCTCTGTGTGGGAGAACTTTATTAGATCTTTAGCACATTCCATCAGTGGCATATGCTACATAATGGATTTTTTTTTTTTTTTTTTGTGAAAAGGAAAAAAAAACCAACCCCACAACCCCAGAACTCAGGAAGTTGTACTTAGACATAAAATTGGAAGTGTTAAAAATGTTGCAGAGTTGAGTACTGAGTAATAATGAAATACCAGAACTACATGAACTGTGAAACATTTCTTTGGCCTTTTCATGCCAAATTACAGGATTACAATATAGTCTTTATCTGCCTGATAACATACTGGTTTTGGTCCAGATCTGGCCTTGTCTGTTGTACTGGTTGTTGCTCTGAGTTGAATAAGGAAGGAATCAGAAGGAACCATTGAACTCAAAGAGTACTGTTTTGATCCCATTAGGTATTGAAAAGTTCGTAGACTGTATGACAAAGAGTGGGTTTGGGGATATTGGCAAGGAAACAGTTGTCTCGGTCAAAGAGACTGAGGAAAGGGAATTATTTCTGGCTTCTGAGAGAGTTCTCAAATACGTTCATCAGTTAAACTGAATTTTCTGCAGTCACTAGTTGTGCATTAGTCATTTGCTGGGTGCCTGATGCATCAGGAATCTGGTAACCAGATTTGCACAAGTGTTTGATCTTCATGGATACAGCTGAATTTGGCAGATGCTGTGCTTGGGGTATGTAAATGAAACATTAGGTGAACCATTCCTGTAAACAAAGCTGTTTCAGATATCACACTATCATGTGAGTTAATGCTTGAGCAACGGAAGTGACTTCTGATGAAGTCACCTTGTGACTAGGGACTTCAGTGACTGTGTGCTTCCTTTCTAAAACCCAAATGAAGTTTCCTCATGTGGATTAGGGAAACATTTGTGGAACTCCCAGGTGCAGTCATGATAAACGCAGAACAAAATGCAGATAATGTGTGTTCAGATTGGAAGTTGAACGATATCCACTGAGCTCTGTGACGTACAAAAGGATATGTATGTGTGTCTCTGTCAAGCACAGATCCATTGAATGGATAAGTGAAGAGATTTCTCTAAGTTGGCTGATACTCCAGCGGTTATTTCAGATTATATTGCTTTGTTTATAGGGAAGAGGCAGTTAAGTTATAATGTCCATGGCTCAGCATTACTGCGGTATGCAGTGATGCACTAGCAGAGAGCAGCAGGAGGTGGAAAGTGATTGTTGTCCACAAAAGGAATCTGAGATTACATTAATTCTAATATTTAGGAGGCCAGGTTAGACA